CCCCAAAACCCCAAAACCCCAAAACCCCATATTAGATTCATCTTGTTGAAACAGAGTTTTAAAACTTCAGGTGGTCTTTAAAATGGTATCCGCATGTTGAAATTCCCTCATAAACCATATAGAAGCCTCATATTTGCATAAATTCAGCGAATGCAACATCATAAGCCAAAGAGTGTCTCTTCAGTATTTGCTGGCGAAGTCTAAGTAAGAGCTACTCTTTAAAATGAAGCATAAATAGTAGATGCTTCATCAGCAACCTGACAGATATTTGTCATCTTTGCTACTATTGATGGGAGTCCCTTGTGGAACTCCCAAGGTTTTAGCACCCCTTGGTAGCATTTATAGTGAAATAATTTAATGGACCTATAAACACTTTTATGAGCTCACTTTTCAACCGAGTTTCTCGATTTATTCTTTGATAATATGAAGTCTTAAAGAAAGTAGTTTATTTATAATTCTCTGAAAAGTTATTAATCTATTTTAGCCTCCATGAGGAATTAAAGGATCAAATAATGAAGAAATAAGCTCCAGTTTCTTCTAATTTTTGATATCACCAACCCAAGTGATCAAGGCTTTGTTTTATCAAAAATTATCACAAATATGGAGATGGAGCTTACTCGATTCTTCATTTGAGCAGGGTGTGATAAAAGTAAGTATGGGATCTTTTATTTTACTCTAAGGGTGTGAAGCTTTACCTTACTCCTACTGAGACAGCTTATGTAATTTGAACAAAGCTGTAATCTCAAACACCAACTTTCTAATAATGGAGCATCAGACTTAATGGAGTTTAGAGGTATTTCATCGAGTGTGACAAGTAAAAGTAGAATCTGCGCTCCTTAGTATACTGCATCCTTTAGAAGGTATAAAATAGAGCTCGGATATTTAAATAGAGCTTAAATTGGCACCTTACGTTTCTATTTTGAATTTTTGGTTGTCCGCATTTATATTTTCTGTTAAAATTATTTTAATACTCAGAATGAATGAAAAAATTTCAAAGCAAAATGGAAGAAATTTTATGATCAATTTTCTTTATACTCTCAAAGGAAATATAGCTTTTAGACCTAAAAATTGACTCTGAGGGCTTATATCTCGAAGAATTTACTGTAATTCATATAAATGGGCTTAAGCTTCTGAAGAGAAGCTTTAAGACAAACAGAATTGGAAGAAACGATGTTATCACAATTATTTAAGGTTAGCAAATTTCCCTGCGAAGATGCTTAGACAAGTTGGCTTTTTGAGTGAATCTCTTGGAGCATCTTGAGCACTGATAAGGCTTGATTCCTAAGTGAATTTTAGCATGCTGGATGAAATTCCAAGACTTCCTGAACTTCTTGGAGCAAGTTGCATGCTTACAGTGGATCCATCTCTGTGATCTTGCTGGTCCTTTAGTAGCAACATATTTGACTGAATGCTTGTACCGTTGAATCTTTTGTGAGTCTGAGGGTCTTGACCGATAGTCTAAGAAATTCATATTGCTGGGAATTTCCCGATCTTCAGATGAATCTGAAAAGTCTCAAAAATCTTCATCTGGATTGCTTTTCTTAATACCAATTGGTGATCCTAATTTATTTAATCCCTCATATCAGAAATTTAGTGGACTATCGAGCTTGCTTGTAGACGAATCAATACTTTTAAAATGTATCATTGCTTCTGAGCGTCTTTTATTTCAGAAGTTGTTGGTAGTCAGGCCCTCTTCCACATTTTGTGATAGATTTTGTGAATTTTCTGATGTGAAATTCTTAGCCACATTCTGAATATGAATTTCACTATTCTGAGGACATAAAAGAATTGGAGAAAGCTTTAAATCCGTTTCATTAAAGAGTATTGGTAATTTTATAGCTTCTCTGACATCTAGGTGATCAACAAAATCAAGGCAAATTTGGTCAGATGATTTGCTGGGTTTCCCTATCTTTTGTAATCCTTGCCCCTTACACTTCTTACTATCTCCTAATTCCCATAACTCTCTAAATTCCATAACCTATTTATTAATCCCAACTCTTCCTTTTTATGCCGGGGTTTTGGGGTTTTGGGGTTTTGGGG